TACACACAGAGAGGAATACACACAGAATGGAATACTACTCAGGCATAAACAGGTATGAAATCTTGCCATTTGCAGCAACATGGATGGACTTGGAAGGCATTATGCTAAATTAAATAAGTCAGAGAAAGAAAAATACTGTATGATATCATTTATATGTGGAATCTAAAAACTACCACAAACCAGTGAATATAACAAAAAAAGAGGACTTCCCTGGCGCAGTGGTTAAGAATCCACCTGCCAATGCAGGGGACCCAGGTTCGATCCCTGGTCCGAGAAGATCCCACATGCCACAGAGCAACTAAGCCTGTGCACCACAACTACTAAGCCCACGTGCCACAACTACTGAAGCCCATGCGCCTAGAGCCTGTGCTCCACAAGAAGGAGAAGCCACCGCAATGAGAAGCCCGCGCAGCACAACAAAGAGTAGCCCCCACTCGCCACGACTAGAGAAAGCCCACGCGCCGCAACGAAGACCCAATGCAGCCCAAAATAAATAAAATTACAAAAAAAAAAAAAAAAGCAGACTCACAGATATAGAGAACAAACCAGTGGTTACCAGTAAGGGGGGGCAGTTTGGGGAGGGGACTGGGAGGTATGAACTATTGGGTGTAAGATAGGCCACAAGGATATATCGTACAACATGGGGAATATAGCCAATGTTTTGTAATAACTGTAAATGGATTTTAAGCTTTCAAAATTGTATCAAAAATTAAAAATTAACAAAAAAAGAAAGAAAAACAGTGATTGTCAGGTGCTTCCATAGTAGTAAGTAAACTAAAATTAGAACTGTCAGAAATGGAGTTTCAAGTGTTTTGATGTTATGGGGGAAAAGTCACAGAACCTTGATAAATAAGCAGAGTTTTAATGATATGAGACAATTGATGGTAAAGAAACATTTTATTATGGGTATATGGCTAATATATGATGAGCAGTTTGAAATAATAGGTATTAGGCTAGTAAATTTGAGGACTAATAAAAGAGATCATGTTGTAATACAAAATTTTATTTTGTTTGTATATGCCTTGTCTTGTTGCCTTTAAAATCTCTAGTATTTCTCCCACTTATATGCAACTTTTGTGCTGTTCCATTTATAGTAGAACACTGGGTTATATTTGAACAATGGATTTACTGCAGGGGAAATGAGACCAAAGCCTAAAGGCAGAAGAAAAAAATCATTTGCAAATTGTTTTCTGTATAAAGGTAGAATATGAGAACATTGGGCTATTTCATAGAAACACTACAGTAAGTTCTACATATTGGTTTCAACACAGTTAAATTCCTTGAGTCTAGTGCCCATTGTACAGTGTTGCAGAATGCTTATTAAAGCTACTTATAGATGGTAAACTGAATCCCTTCAGTTGTGCAAGTTCATATTCTTTTTATAATCTGTGTTTTGCCTTCAATAGTGGCCTCTGTGGTAAGCTTCTCCAGGAACAGCAATTCTCCTGTTCTCTTATGTGATCCTAGGTACACATAAGAGAGATAGGTGTTGATAATTGCCTAGTTGTTCATAGAAAATTAATGGTTTGGATAATTTGAGCAGTTTGAAATCAAAACTGAGGCAGCTGGCATTTCTTTTTACAATATTCTGTGTTGTTTCTGTTCTTTATGAATACTATTTTGGTGGATTAATTAAAGCCATAAAAGCCTAATTTAATAGGCAATAATTGTATGCTCTCCCCCTAAATCAAATAAGAACTATCCTGCATTTTACCCTCTGAGAACCAGCATTTTCTGCTACTTCTCTCATATTCTTACCCAGGTTTTCCTAACTGTTTGCTTTTAGTCTGATCTGATACTGAGTTGCAATGTGTGATTATTACTAGTGAGCAAGTGTCAGTTTTATTTGGGCCCCAGAAATGGTTAAGTCTAGACTTATCTAATGATATTCACTGACTAGGTATCAGTCAAACAAAAGTAATTTGTTGAGATTTTTAAAATTTTGTGTAATCATTTTTAGGGTATTTCTTGAGAATTCAGTTTTGATCATGGAGATGCCCACTGTTTATTTCTATACCATTTTTCCTGATTATTTTAAGTGTGTCATCAGCAGAAATTAGAAATATTGTCTACTCAACTTGCTTGTAGAGTGGACTAGCCTTTTCCTCCCATCCCTGCTGCCTCTGAATCAAGCTGTGCTTGGAGGCAAGTCTAAATTAGGTGTAGTGAAGGGGGCTAATTAAAAGAAGTAGTCATGAATGTGTGTGTACATTGTGACATGTTCCGACCTTTTTTCTTTCTTTTTTTTTTTAAATTTAGCAACATACATCTTAAAAAGTTGCTGTGTACAAAGCATTATTCTTAGTGGAGAAGGAGGATTCAGATGTGGTCCCTGCCTTCAAAAGAACTTACCATCTCACGTGGGAAATGGTCTCACATGATAATAAATGGAGCTCACTCGTGGAAGCCTTGCTGGGTGGGGTTGGGTGTGGCCTCTGTGTGTGAAAGTGCCTCTCCCTCCCAGGGTTCTGGTTTGGAACACTGGAGTTGAGCTGAAGAGGCCTCATCAAAGGCTGGAGTGTTAGCTAGCGGGGCCCTGCGACCAGAGAGACATGTGGTGGAGGGGCCTGCCTTTCTTAATCATTGTGGGCATTTTTAAACACACGCGTAGAAAGACTAATACAATGAGCCCCCATATAGTCATTCCTCAGATTCAGTAATTATCAAGACTTTGCTAAATTTGTTTCATTTATTCCATTTTATTCTTTCTTGCTATTGTGTTTTAAAGCAAATTTCAAACATCTGTCATTTCAATCCTACGTACTTCAGTATGCATCTCCAAAAATATGGCCATTTTCTTGTCATCACAATGCCAACGTGAGTCTAACCAAGTTAGTAATTCCTTGGTATTGTCTTACAGAGGATGTCACTTGTAAGCCTTTTGTAAGACGTCACTGTGTTTGCCATTTTTGCGTCTTCAAGATCTTTGTTGCTTGGTCCCAATAAATCATTACCATGGATAATTTTGCATGATAGAGGCTTTTTCTGTATACTTTCTCTAATGAAAGAATCTGAGGGGAATTCCCTGGCAGTCCAGTGGTTAGGACTCCGAGCTCTCACTGCCTGAGGCCCTGGGTTCAATCCCTGGTCAGGGGACTAAGATCTCACATCTCGTAAGTCGCGTGGCGCGGCCAAAAAGAAGAAAAGAATCTGATTGTGTTCAAGGTGTTGATTCTGTTAACTTTACTCTCAGGCAGGTTATCTCCTGAGACCAGTTTAATTACACTTGCAACAGAGCTGTAGAATACTGTCCAGTTTAGTTTTAAAATTTGGGCTGTCTCTGTGACACACATTGTGTGATAGCACATGGGACTGCTGTCACAGTCTGGTGTGGTCATTCAAAGAATATATAGTCAGAAAGTATGATGGTGTTTGATACTCAAGGCACAAAAGGAGCTGACCATGGTTGAGTTCTTATAGTTCTTGCCATGCATTGACTCTTCTTATTCTTCCCTACTTCAACTATTTAACCATGGAAATGGAATAATTTTCCCTCCTGAAATTGCCAATAGTACAGCCTTCTCCCTCCAATACATATGCACACATAGATGCATATCCCAAAATATTCTGGGAACTAGAAGAAAAGTGAGCAGACTGGGAGCCATGCAGATGCTTTCTTCTTCCCGTCACGGTCAGAGTAGATCTTTTCACTTCCTGGGAGTTTGGACACAAATTCTTGTTTATCATCTCAGCCTGTGGGTTTGTACTGTAATATGATTTCTAACAGTAATTAAATATAATTAAATAAAAATATTCATTTTAACTAAATACTATTATAGCAATAAATACTCATTGACTAAAATAAAACTCATTATCTTCCCATGTTCCTCTCTCGGTGCTTCCTGTCTTGGTTAGTGGCGTCATTATCCTCCCACACAAGAAATTCTAAGACTGTTCCCTTGACTCCTTCTGCCAGTTTGTTATCTTTGCAGTAGCTCTGTTCACTTCATTCTAGGTTTCCAGCCCTAGTTCCAGGTATTTATTGTCTGTCGGACTCACGATAGCTTCCAGTTTGCCTCTGTCTTTGTCGGTTGCTTTCCCTGCCAGTCCATCAGCTCATTACTTCGGGCTGCCACTCTGAAATAGAAACCTCATCACACCACTCCTTTGTGCACAAGCCTCTGATAGCTCTGAGGTCTACAGACTAAGAGCCAACCTTCTTAGTGTGGCATTGCAAGTTGTGTGTGCCTCAGCTGCGCTAGACCACAGGCTGTTGCTTCGTGTACCTTGTACTTCTTCCCTGCTCTGCTCAGCTTGCCTGTTTTCTGGAATGCTGATAAGTGATAGAGGAGATTCCAGCCCATGTGCTTTCATTTATTATGCCAAATGAATAAAAGTTGTGTGGAATTGGTTGTAAGGAAGTTTTACTTGTTTCTTTTAGTTTTATCAAATCAGTATGAGAATATAGATCAGAAACATTCTTGGATGCAGTTTCTAAAGTTTAGTACTCCAAGGATTTAGAGTCTTAAGATTTTTGTTTTTTTGTTTTGTTTTTTGTTTTGGCCGTGCCATGCGGCTTTGGGTCTTAAGATTTAACAGCAGTGCCAGTCACCTTTTTTGAACGTTCCCCCCCCCCCTTGAATCTCCAAATTCTGTGTTTACCTTTGTTGTTACTACTCTTTGTTTGTGGCAGGGAGGAGGAGGAAGATGTGAAAGTAAGGAAGTAGATTTCAGTCAGGGACAAGGAGAGAAACACCCTGATAGAAGAGGTTATCAAACACTAGCTGTTTGTGGTTTGTTAAGGAGGAAATGTTACCCGAAAAAAAAGAGAACTTTTCATTTTGAAATAAGATTCTTTGTTGCATTAACATATAATTTTTGTCAAAATGTAGAACTGACAAAGGGTGAGAATCTTTTTATTTGTCTTAATAATTGTAATTTGTTGTTTTAATGAAGCATTTTGAGATTTACCTGTTTTTATCAGTAAAAAAATTGTTTGCATATAGATAACGGAAAGTTATCATTCAAATGTTATTTCATATGTCTTTATTTATTTTTAGACAAAAGAAGTTAGAAAAAGTGATGGAAGAAGAAGGCCTAAAAGATGAAGAGGTAATTAATATTGAAAAAATTTTCCTTGAAACCCAGCATGGCAGATCATATCTTATCCAGCAAGTTGTTAGCCTTGGTGCACAGGGGAGTGGTTTTGACTCAATAACAGGAAATTATGAGGGCTGGTGTGCTTCTGGATTTAGGTACTCATGCAGAGGGAGAAGTTAATTATTAAGTACCAGGAGAGGATGACTTCTCTAGGCTCTGTTGTAATAAATTAATTAGCTTTAGAACTCCAAGAAAAGAGATGAAATAAAATTAAAATTTTAAAAAAGCAAATTATAGCATTTTTAATTCACTGAAAAGGCTCCATAGAAGTGGGGCAAATTTCTAAAATCTTTGTCAAGGCAAAATCTCTCTCAAATCAGCCCTTCCCTCCAATGCCCACAGATGTGGCAGAAAATATAGTTAACTCGAAACCATGTAAGGAACTGAAATGACAGTGGAAATGCTTTCAAAAAGAGGAATGAATCATAGAACCCAGGAAAATGGTGAAAAATACCCAAGATTTGTAGGAACAGTAGAAAGTTAATGCATAAAATGAACCACAATGTGTAAAGAAAATCCAGAGGGAAATTTAAAAACCACACTTTTATATAAGGAGGGTTAAAGGAAAATGTTGGTTGTTTATCCTTCCTTCAATAGAAGCTTTAGAAAAGTCGATTGTTGACGTAGGTTAGTCAGTCCTCAGAGGAGGCACCGTCTGTTCAGTATGGCTTGGTTATTGTATCTGAAGGCCTGGGAAGGGAGGAGTGATCTCGTAAGGGTCATTCTGTGGTGCTTTCATGTGTGAACAGATGATGCTTAGTCTGGTGTGGCCCTGCTTTGCAGGTGGGTTAAACCACAAATACGACTTTGTTGCAGAGTTTCAGAGTTCCAACTCCTCCCCTTCCCACCTCTCTCCCTCTTTATTTAAACATTAGAAACGACTCAGGAGATCAGCACATGCTCGGAAGGAAACAGAGTTTCTTCGTTTGAAGAGAACAAGACTTGGATTGGAAGATTTTGAGTCCTTAAAAGTAATAGGCAGAGGAGCATTTGGTGAGGTAAAAAAACCACAGTGACTTGTCAAATACAGCAATACCACAGAACTTCAAAGCTTCTAACACCATGAGCTCATGATTCTTGATATAACGGATGTATGGAGTGCGTGGGTCAAGCATGCCAGCCCCACATCTTAAGTGTTCTGTCTTCTCTTTCTTCCCCTCTCCACTGTCCCAGGGATCTGGTTGTTCTCTGCTCTTCCAGAGATGATGTTGATGCTTTAAGTATTGATCTAAAGGGAGAGTTGAAAGGTAGAAAGAAATCAATATTTATTATTTACTGAGTGCTTTTCTCCTATAATCATGACAGTAACTCATTTTATACACGATGAGATTAAGACTCCGAGGGGATATGTAATGTTCCGGCATCACATAACCATTGAGCAGTGGTACCAGAAGCGGGGCCTAGGTCTTCCTGATCTTGAAAGTCTTGCTTTTCGCATTACACTGCCTCTCCGGGAGCAAACTCACAGCATATCTCCACCCTTTATTTCTTCCCGCCAGATTGGTACAGCTCTAAAAAGATGGCCCTAGGTGACAGAATTTATAGAAATAAGTTATGTAAGTGGTGGTATAGAGTGAAAGCATTTGCAACTTTGTCCCAGCTGGTCTTGCATGTGCATCCTGCTTGGTCACAAGAGCAGTCTGTTGGGGAGGGTTTGAATGAGCCCATGCAAGATCATCTCCATTCATGGAAAATGCCCAAAGTGGATGACCTACTGATGTGTTATTTTCATTATCATTGTATAAAAGGAGCAGCATAGTATTAAAAACCACTACCTAGGGGAAATGTGAGTACATATTCAAAGGCACAGGTGAAAGATAAATTGATTCCTCATTGTTCAGAATCCCTGTTGGCCCCTTGAGAGAGGGAAAGGTACAGGACCACCTCTGAAAGAGCTCTCTGTTCAGTGAGGAGGGGACGTGGGACTCGAGGAGAACATAAAGAATGGTGCAGGGAGAAGAAAACATACATATCTTGGGGGAAGAGGGGGAGGATGTGCAGGAAATTTCCAAGAAGTTTTGTTTGGGTTTGCAGACCATTTATTTTCTTTTCATCATGAATTATCTGTTCTCTCTAAAAAAAAATTCAAAATAGAAAAGAGAAAGGAGAACTGCAGAAAACCCTACTTCCCTGATTATGCTATTATTTCCCTAATTATGCTATTATCCTATTAATAATGCTTCCAGGCATTTTTTTTTTCTATACCTGAGCTTTTGCTATTGTTTTAAACATTGTTGTAATCATTTCCTTAGGTTTTCTGAGCTGACTGCTTGACATGTGCCATGGGTTTAATGAGTCCTTAAGTTCCAGAGTGAGGGTTTGTTTTTTTCTTTTTGGCCATGCCACGTGGCTTTCGGGATCTTAGTTCCCCGACCAGGGTTTGAAACCTGGGCCCTTTGCAAGTGAAAGCCCTTTGCAATGAAAGCCCCGAGTCTTAACCACTGGATCGCCAGGGAATTCCCACAGTGAGGGTTTAAAATTAGATTGATTTGTTCAGGTAGGGAGCCAGAGCTGTTCAGATGTGGAGATATTTGAGTATGTTTCCAGCACTGACTTCACTGTGTGTAACATATCCATTTTGGAACATTGAAAAGCATTTTCTTCTGCTTTGTTATTGCTAGTTGCTTATATAAAAATTACAGTACTTTTCCAGTTTAAATATTACTTCCTATAACACATGAAAGCATTAGCTTGGCATTGTGAACTTTTGGCATTTCTTTATAACTTTTAGGTGCGGCTTGTTCAGAAGAAAGATACAGGGCATGTGTATGCAATGAAAATACTCCGTAAAGCAGATATGCTTGAAAAAGAACAGGTAAGAGCACAATTGAAGCAGCGATTTTAGTTAGCTTGTGAATTTTTGTCTCCTAGAACTGTTCTTTTTGCTTAATTGAAGTGTATATTCCTATTTTAGTTTTCTTTAGCCCTGTCATGTATGAATATACATGTAATATTACTTTTCTTTCTCCCCAAAAGAAGGAGTTACATGTATTTTAAAAGTACAAATAATGCCTCTACATTATGTGCAGACTTTTTAAAGTTGAAAACCTACTAGAGAAATATCTGATATTTGTGTCTCCCAGTTGATCCCAAGCTGTCCTTGTCATCAGGAGCCTTTTTTTGAGGTCTTTCTTACTGTGGTAGCATGTTCCTTACTGAATGCTGAGAGATAGAAGTTGTATATACACCTTGGAACTGAGGCTTAGCAATTAGAATTTAGAATTTGCGATCTAAAATGTGTCTTACATTGCTTCATTCTGTACATGCAAACCAAAGTTGGGTCTTCTCAGTGGCTCATCACTACCTAAGACCAGTCTTCTTTTGGAATGCATTTGAAAAAATATAATGCAAAAGGCAGAGCAATGCAGATTCTCCTTTAATGATTAAGGATACTTTCTAAAACCTCAAACCTACTTTGCAAATAGATTTATAAGATGCATTAAGTACTTCATGTAGAATAAGATTTTAAATATTGGACAATACATTAAAAATGAAAATGCAGACTTTCCATAAATCTAATTTAATTTAGCAGGTTGCTTAAGAACAGATTGTAATGGGTGACACCTGCAAATATCCTGTAGAATATCAGTTGCTACAGGAGGGCAGAGAGACCCCATGGAAATGAGACCTCTGGATACAGAGCCTAAGAGCCGGGATGGAAACCAGCCCCACACCCAGTCCTCCTCGAGAGGAGGTGTAATCACCAAGGATTCTCTGCCCTTCATTTAAGCGCCAGCTCAAAATTTGGGATTTTAATTTTCTCTTTAATTTTCCGATATTACCCAGAAGCTTTAGACTCCCAGGAATTTTGGTCGAGAGTATCAAATACCCTGGCAGTATATCTTCAGACAGTATAGTTTATGCTAACACCAACCTTATTCAAAATGCACACTAGCCCTATTAATTTATATATAAAAATTAGTGTGTGGTATGGGTGTAGGCACTGAAAGAGTTTCAGTTAATCTTGAAAAGGAAAATGTAAGGCTGTATTGATTAGTCAGTATATTTTGTATTTCACAAGTAAATTCTATTTTTACAAGATCTGTTTCCTATAGTTTTAAGCAAGACTCAAAATCTTCCTTTATCAAGTGATTACCGTTCAGAATAAAATCGTAAAGAGAAGTACACATCATGAGTTTGACTTATTAATCCTTCATAGCATGTGCCAGAGGTAACAGAAGTGGTAACAGGATGATCCAAACATATTGTGTAAAAACATTTGCTGAAGTACTGTACCTTCTTCAAAATCAGTTTCTAAAAATTTTCTACATGAAAATAAAGGACATGTCTGTTCTGTTAAAAATTTTAATGTTTAAAATTAAGATTTTAAATGATGCATTAACTTAAATTAGTAGCTCACCTTGCTGATGGACTCAGCTCTTTAAGTTTGATCTCAGTGTGGTCCAATTAAAGTTTCTGGCCACAGACTCTACCTGGGTCAGCCGTCTTGAGGAAGCATGCAGCAGCTTTGTGGGGCAAATCCATCACTTCTGGGTGGGGCTGACAAAGTATAGATTCAGAGCCTAACTTTTTGTAGGTATAGGTGGCTTATCCAGAGGAAAACTTTTTGCTTGCTCTTACAAAACTGAGCAGGAATTACAGCTACCCACTGAGAGTTCGGGTTGTTATTCTGCCCCACAAGATGGAAATTTCTGCTACCTGGAAAATAAATTTTAAAGGATAAGAGACCAGCATGTAGCTAGTCTCTTCATGTTTCTCTTCCAGTGCAAAACGAAAACCTCCAGTTGTGATGCCAGTATAGTGTTAGGATGGAACCAAAGACTGACTTTCATCTCTGCTTTCCTAGTGCCCAGGGTAGCAGCTAGCATGTGATTCCCCCACCCTATTCAATATTTATGGAACAGGGGAAAGGGAACCTCTGGTGTGAGTTGCACCTCTGGCTCTTCCCACCCCTACCCTAAAATCACCTGACTCCACCCCTAGATCTTGAGTTCTTAGCTGCTGTCTCAGCCCCAGAAGAGAAGGGCAAGGTGTGGTCACAGTACCTGTAGCTTTCCCTGTGACAAACTGAGAATGTTGCAGTCACCATCCTGCCCTCTAAGGCGAGTGACAAGTGGCAGTGGTAGTGTCTGTTCTTTTCCATACATCCCTACAGTAGGTAGAGGCCTTAACAGGAGACAAGGGAAGCAGAGGTGGGTGAATGCTGCCGTGTATGGTCTTTGTGTAGTAATTGACTGGGTCATAGCCAGGTCTGCATTTTAGCAATGCATTTTTGGCATGAGCATTTCTTCAAGGCATTACTTGGCTTCTTCATGATTTTATAGCACTGTTCCTTATCACCCTTATCCTCTTCCATTTTTCCCACCCTCATACCATAAGTAGAGATGTAAAAATGTAAATTTTCTAAGACAGCAGTCCCCACCCTTTTTGGCACCAGGGACTGGTTTCATGGCAGACAATCTTTCCACGGACTGGCGGGGGGAGGTGGGATGTTTCAGGTGGTAATGCAAGCGATGGGGAGTGATGGGGAGCAGCAGATGAAGCTTTGCTTGCTCGCCTACTGCTGTGCGGCCCGGTTCCTAACAGGCTGCAGATGGGTACTGGGGACCCCTGTTTTAAGACATTGAATTTATTTAAAAATTTCCTAAAGAACAATTTTGGTAGAAACTGAAAACTCAAATACTTTTAGGCCTGTGGGAGTTAGCATGGAAGAATGAGGCAGGTTAGGTGTAAGACAGGAGAGAGGGCTGGGATCTGTGTCTTTGGTAAAGACATCCCAGTAAAACAAGCATATAGCACATTGTCTCAAAACAAAAACCATGGGCTGAGTTTGCCAATAGAAGTGCCGGTTTGTGAACTTGGTATATCTTTACCTCTGAACATATTCTAGGAGGTCCAGCCCTGGAACATATGTTAAGGTCAAAACCTCTATTCAAGGATTGGACTGGGTCTTAATAAATTTAGACCTGATTCAACCCAGTTTTGCATCTTGTGACGCTTATATAAGAGGAGAGGGGGTGGGACTTGATAATATGCAGCAGTGTTTTGATTACTATTATATGCTTAAAGTAGATAAGGTAAGCTTGATAATAATAAATTAATTCTCCCAAACGTTTGGCAACTTGGTCTTCCTAGCTAGATATTTCAGTAAAAATAGAAAACGGCAAGGTCATAAATTTGAATCTACAACTTTTCTTAGGTGTTCTTATATTTAAGTTCAGTAAGAACTGATCGAGCACATCCTGTGTGCACAGCAGTGAACTGAATGTTGTGGCATCAGAGTATTCTGGAATTGTCAACAAGGCATTGTCTTTGCAGATGTCATTGAAGACCTGAGGGAGGATGTGTTTAGAGAGTCTCATCTTTGGGGACTTGTTTCTATCAAAAAGGATTATTAGGACAAAAAGATATGCAAAAGGATGGTAATTTTAACTAATCAAAGGTTCCATTTATAGCACTGTTAAAGTTTCCCTTTGCATTCAAGCCATTGATTTTGCCATTTTTTAAGCCTTTCATCACTCAAGTTTTCATCACTGAATACCTTCAAGTCAAATGTTGTCAATTTTGAGTTAGTAGGTTTGCCTAAGCATAAAATTAGATCTTTTGTATCATCACAGTTTAATACTCAAAACAGTATTTAAATTGTTTAAACAAATATACGGTCTAATAAAGCAGAGCAAGGCTTGTCATTAATCAAATGCGTGTACCTCCAGGTTGGCCACATTCGTGCGGAGCGTGACATTCTAGTGGAGGCAGACAGTTTGTGGGTTGTGAAAATGTTCTATAGTTTTCAGGATAAGCTAAACCTCTACCTAATCATGGAGTTCCTGCCTGGAGGTAATTACTTGACGATGAAAGGTCATTTTTCCTTTTTGTTCTGTGGTTTCTCTATCACATCAATTAACCCTCCTTTCTACTTTTAATCGTGCTCACAAAGTTGCTTTCTGTATCTTTTTAGGTCTGTAAGGAGGTCAGTAACCTGTCTGTGCTGGGGTGCCTTTCTACAGCTTTAGGGCCATAAAAGTAACCTTCTCCTTCATTCTCATAATTTCAGATGGATATTTCTTTCTTTTCTTTTTCTTTCTAAATATAGGAATAAACTAGGGGCTTTGCCTGCCCTCCTGTCAGTGGAATCATGTATAATTAGTTACCCCAGTGACAGAATTGAAGCTATTACATTCTTTGCTTCAACTTTTTTTCTATAACTTATAAGAAGTGAATTTCTCGTTATCTATATTAGTAGCCACAATCAGTTTCTCATTTCTGAGATTTCAAGTTTTATGTAACTCGGCATGTGCATCTTCTGAGACAGCTCCAAAGTACACCCAGAACAGAGCATGCATCTGTTCTGGGGAACACAGTCTGTTTCCCAGTGAGCAGACAAACTGTGAGCACACTGGTAGGAAAGAAAGAAAACTTCTTCTTTTTTGCTTCTATAGCAAAACTAATATAATTGTGGTGTAATATTTGATCTTGTGACAACCTTTAATTTAGATTTAGGGTCATCAATAACTTTTTATTAACAACTGATGAAGGCTAGAAAAGAATCTATCTGATAGAATGAGGAGAAACTTTTTAACATTTAGATGCCAGTCGTTAAACGGGAGTAAGAACCAGTTCAGTAACCAGCCAGCCCCTTGACATGTGTCTCCTCAAACCTTACCTGCACCATCTTCCATAGACTCTTGTCTCCTGGACCCTGCCCTTTGCACCTGGTGGAGCTGGCCTGCAGAGCCATAGACTGCCTGGCCTGAGCGCTCTGATCATCTGGGCAAGGCCCACACAGGTGGGGCCACAGCGCCAAGTCCTCACAGATAACTTAGAGCTAGCCTGAGTCTCTGATGTGCCTCCAGATTGAATGCCTGGCTGCCAGGAGTGATAAGGCAATCATGTTTTTCAAGTTTTGGGGCAAAAAGGAGCATTTTAATAAATGGCTGAATTTTTGCCCAAGGGTAAAATATCCACTTTTCTCCAAGAATACAGAAATTCCCTCAAAGTTATAAATTAAATTTAAAAAGCAGCACGGTGCTCTATTAAAATCAGAGGTTTCTATCTCTTTTCCCTGTTTTCTAATATAAATGTCTTCCTATGCGATCTAAACTGAATATTTCCTGTTTCTTTTAGCTTTAAACTGCTTATTCATACTTCCTTTGCTTTCCTTTTGTCTGACTGTTGAGTTAGGATCAGAATCTTTTTTTCACCATTTTATGTTGATGGTATTAAGCAGAAATAATTAAATTTTGACTTTGCAGAAAACTAAGTTTACCTTTTAACTGCTAAAATACTGATGTTGTGTTGTAAAAGTTGCATAAAGCATTTTGGTGTATATTTAAGTACCTACAATAAAGCACTGGAGAAAAAACCCAACTGATCTAGGGACGTGTTCACCGTGTACTTTTGGGAGGCAGCTATTACACATCCTAGTCTGTAGCATTTTCAGTTCATATTTAGCTTTTGTTGAGTAACACTTTGTTACCTAAATCCCACCTTTTTATTTATGTTCTAGTGTTTTGTGAATAAACATTGGAGAGCTTGTTCTCAACCTCCCAGAATTTTTACGTTTTTGTTGTTTGGCATTTCAGCCTCTCTGATAATGGCAGTACAGCCTATGTGGAAATGCCATTTGGTTCTAGGTAGAGAGAAGTTTGCAGATACTTGTGCAAAGTATAAAGTAAAGTAGCTTTTCCCCCAGTCCAAAAAATTATCTTAAGCAAATTTATTTATCTGTCTACTTATTTATTTATTTTAGTGTGAGAGGAATTTCCTTTCTCTCTCCAAAGTAAAAGGGAAATCACAGCTCAGGGGTCAGCATCAGTTAGCTTAGGTGAAAGTGTTGTGGAATCCCTGGCTGTGAATTTTACCTTGTAAGTGTTAGAAACTCCTTAGCATTTCTGCTCTTATTGGGCATTTCCGCCCGTAGTGGGTAATCTCTGGGACAGAGCAGAGGCCTGTTTAGCACCGCCTTACATTGGCAGATAGGGGAGACACATTGAAAACTGGCATTTATTCGTGTGTTGTTTTGTGTGTGTGTGTGTACTTTGTATCTTGTTTCCAGGGGACATGATGACCCTGCTGATGAAGAAAGACACACTGACAGAAGAGGAGACTCAGTTTTATGCAGCAGAGACAGTATTAGCCATAGACTCCATCCACCAACTCGGATTCATCCACAGAGACATCAAACCAGACAACCTTCTCCTGGACAGCAAGGTACTGTGGGGAGTAGCAGCCTGACCAGCGTGTCTTTACCTGTCTGAGCAGCCTCTGCTTTAACACCTGTGTGGCTTGCAGTAATCACAGTAGGGGAGCTGTGAGCTATCCGGTACATTTTTTTCTTTTTCTTACAGGTAAATTTGCTGTTACTTACTTTCTCTGAAAGGCTTATGAATTCCATAATTTGAACAGTTTCTCATAAAGATAAAGAACATTTTGGAAAATGATGAAGAATAAAATTGATTTAAGTTATTTTGTAATAAAGCCAAAGATAGTCATCTTCTCTTAGCATATAATTAACTATACTAATGCATCACCTATCGAGAACCCTTTTGTTGGGCAACCTCATCTGTTGAGGATCCCGGCCAAGAACCAGGAAGTAAGGCGACAGCAACGATAATCTGCCACAAAGTTCAGGTTCCAAATCCTGTGCCCTCTGCTTAAGGCAGAGTCCTACTCAGTCTCTGTGATGGCGTCTTTGTAGTCATCTTTAGACATGCAAATGAGGTTAGTTGCCTGATTCTTAAACTCACAGCAAATCAGAAGAGAATCCCTGTGCTGCTAAATTGTTGGATGCTCCTTGGCAAGTTCTTCCACTGTCTGGATCTCACTTATCTATAAAGTGAATATATTGATCCAGAGAAGCTCCAAAGTCTCTTCCAGCTCTAAAATTCTAGGTTGTTGTGTTCTGGTACATAGAATTGTTGTCTAGACTGAATTTTTCTTTTAAGTAGGAAAGTAAATTTAACTCCTAGGGTAGTTTTCTTTCTTACTGTCTTTTTTTTTTTTTTTTTTTGCGTTATGCGGGCCTCTCACTGTTGTGGCCTCGCCCGTTGCGGAGCACAGGCTCCGGACGCGCAGGCTCAGCGGCCATGGCTTATGGGCCCAGCTGCTCCGCGGCATGTGGGATCTTCCCGGACTGGGACACGAACCCGTGTCCCCTGCATCGGCAGATGGACTCTCAACCACTGCACCACCAGGGAAGCCCTCTCTTACTGTCTTTTGATAACAGTCTTTGAAAAATCTGAAGTTTTGGTCTACTTTCTTTGAAAACCTTAATCTTTCTGTTTAAAGAGGTAGGAGGTTTGTCAGATAATTTCTTCTAGTTAATAGTTTTTTTCTTTATTTTAAGAATAATGTATATACGTAGTGGAAAGTTTGAACAATACAGAGAGCTATAAAGAAGAAAAATACCTATAATGTTATCGTTCAGAGATCACCACTATTTTAGTAAAATAGCTTCAGTACCTTTTCTGTTTGTGTCAGTTTATGTACAGTTAGTTAGCATCGTAAAAGGAAATAGCTTGGTATTCTGCTTTTAAAATGTTAATGTATATGAAATTATTTTTCTGTCCTTAAGTTCAGATACATATATATATGTATTTTAAACTGTGCCTGATAGAAGGGTTTTATTTTTTGTAATTAATTTATTTTTGACTCCCTGGGGTCTTCATTGCTGCATGTGAGCTTTCTCTAGTTGCAGTGAGTGGGGGCTATTCTTCGTTGCGGTGCGTGGGCTTCTCATTGCGGTGGCTTCTCTTGTTGTGGAGCACGGGCTCTAGGCGCGCGGGCTTCAGTAGTTGCAGCGTGTGGGCTCAGTAGTTGTGGCTCTCGGACTTAGTTGCTACACCGCATGTGGGATCTTCCCGGACCAAACGGATCAAACCCATTTCCCCTGCATTGGTAGGCGGATTCTTAACCACTGCGCCATCAGGGAAGTCCTAGATATATTTTTAATAAAGCAGTAGCCCTACTTTGTGTGGTCTTGGGTTCAGATGCCTTGGTCCTGTACCCCAGGTGCCTTAGTTCTCGCTTAATTGTAGGCCGTAGTCTGTGTTCAAGGTCAGCAAACATACTGAAGGCCAAGAACTTGGGGACTCAGTCTAGCTGAGGTGGATTTAGGAACCCTGTTTGGTGCAGACATGCTCTCTACCATATGCTAGCCCAGACTTGTAGAGGAGAGCTCATATATGTGTTTAGCCATATAGATTATAGAAGGGAAAATGTAGACATTTTGAGTTCCTCCTGTATAGTCAGAAGAGCTACAGAGTCCCCTGAAAATTTAGGTTTGAATAGCATTTGCTCTAGGCACTGCTTTTTTTTTTAAATAAATTTATTTATTTTATTTATTTATTTTTGACTGCGTTGGGTCTTCGTTGCTGTGCGCAGGCTTTCTCTAGTTGTGGCGAGCGGGGGCTACTCTTTGTTGTGGTGCGTGGATTTCTCATTGTGGTGGCTTCTCTTATTGTGGAGCGTGGGCTTCAGTAGATGTGGTGCATGGGCTCAGTAGTTGTGGCTTGCGGGCTCTAGAGCACAGGCTCATTAGCTGTGGCGCATGGGCTTAGTTGCTCTGCAGCATGTGGGATCTTCCCGGACCAGGGCTCGAACCCATGTCCCTGGCATTGGCAGGCAGATTCTTAACCTCTGCGCCACCAGGGAAGCCCCGGCACTGCTTTTTAAGACACTTTTTCTTGGAGGTGTCCAGGTAAATCATGTAATTATGAGAACTATAAAACACTTCCTTGGCTTGCAGAACAGGTTATTTGCAAGTCTTAAAGGAAGATACTAGGTTAGCAGACACACACACACACACACACACACACACACACACACACACACACACACCCCTAATGGGATAAAAAAACCTCCAAAAACCTGACCCTACGGACTGAAGGAAGGTGGTATCATGGAAAGACCACAGATGAGTCATTGGAGCTCAGACCTTGGCCACATCACTTTTAATTGTGTGACCTTGAGCAGTATAGATCCCTGAGCATCAGGAGTCTCTCCCCTGTTTTTGGTTTTACCTCCTTATATACTTAAAATTTTGGTTAGTGAACACTTGGTCCTGTCTAAAATGTTCATAAGACGCTTGGTCCATGCAAAAAGTTCCTTGCAATTTGGTCCAATCCAAAGTGTCCATGCCAAATGGTTTTGGACAGAGCCAAGTATCAAGGACCTTTTGGCGTGGACCAAATGTCCTGCAAGGAAAATCTCACCACCCCAAGAACACCTTCCTCTTCCTTAGGAGCATGTGCCAGGTACCAGGTTAGGAGCCTTACATGCATTAATTCCCATCATTCTTGCCAGGGAGATATCATTATTCCCATTTTCCAGATGAGATCAGGGGGTTGGAGAGGTTAAGTAATCCTGGTCTGGAGAGAGAGAGCATTGATTTCTGGCTTTGGTTCTGCCATTTCACCCCAAAGTCATTTAATGACTCTTGAGTCTGAAGTGTGGCTTAAGAATGAGACAGCACACTTAAAGGCATGGTGCCTGGCTCACAGGAGGTGTGAGTTTTCTTTGAAGAGAATGATAAAGTCAGAGACTTATGATTGGAATACAGTGTGGCAATATTTGTCAATAACTGTGCAATAAAGTTTATTCCCTTTGTCTTTGGAATAGTTTACTTCTTGGCATTTATTCTGATGAAATAATTCATGTGGGGAAAAAGCTATATGAACAAAGATTTGTTTATTTACTCATCATTTAACAGCCGTTTATTAAGACCATCTTCTGTACCATGCGTGATTAGGGTTGGGAACACAGGCCCTCTCTGGCACAGGGGTGCTTTGAGAGTGGATTAAGCATCCAGTGTCGGGGGATAGGTAGACAGCGATGTACTAAGTCATTTGAATATTATGTAGACATTAAAGATGATTTTGAAGAAACAGAAGAATATTTGATTGAGTTAGTTTAAGAAGTAAAATTAGATGCTGTAGATACACCTGAAACTAATATAATATTGTATGCCAACTATATTTCAATATTTTGAAAAAGTGAAAAAAAGTTAGATGCCATGGAGGCTTCAACTAGTTTTAAAGTTTATATTTGGACAAAAACAAAGGTAATGTGCAAAAATGAAAATACTTTTATTTGTATAATAGGATTTGGGGTGATCTTTAAAGAATTTGTTTGCTATTATATATTTCTCCCTGTAGTAAAAGAAAAAGCAGCATCCTTTGGCTGTGGAGCTGCAATGGCTACTGCACAGAGCTGGAGAAGATAATGTTCTGTTCCACATCCATGAATGTTCATCCATTCATTACCTTGTTTCCTCCCCATAGGGCCACGTGAAACTTTCTGACTTTGGCCTTTGCACAGGACTGAAAAAAGCACATAGGACAGAATTTTATAGGAATCTGAACCACAGCCTCCCCAGTGATTTCAGTAAGTGTTAACAGTGATGTTAGCCTTTTTATCCCTTAACTGGGCCTGGAAGAGCTGTTCCCCTGCTAACCAAAATATGTGGGATGGATTAGGAGATTCTCACAGTTTGAGTCTTTAGAGAGTAAAAATACCTTCCCAGGTTTGCCTGTGATTTGTACTATATGGTGAGGCAAGATGAAGGCTACCAAATGTGTTAAAGGCAGATGTCCAAAAGAGCATTCTTTGGAGCTCTACTGAGAAGGTTACAAGGGACGAATAAGGAGCAGGCAAGCAAAAGTAGTAGAGGAAAGAGTCCTGGGAACAACTCCAGATTAGATTTAACCTTGGTGCTTCTTTCTGTCATGGCAGAAAGAAGTTTATGAGTTACTTTCACTCTATCAAACCATTGAAACTCTGTAGTAAAATTACAGTTCATCCTTGAGAAGTTTATGTCCATAGTGTATTATATATTCAGAAGTCTCTGATTATGTAACAGTTACTATTGTTGGAAATTTGATAGTAATTTTGAGAAGTTGTGAATGTTTTAGGTCCACTTTGGGACCTTTGCTTCTGATGAGACTGAATTCCCTGTGATTCTGATTAAATTCCCTGTAATTTTGTTTAAGGCCTGTCCGTGTCCTCTCTGGCCACCTAATCCACATAGAAGTGTGGCTTACAACTCTTATTGTGTGATTCTTTGAGTTAATGCTTTAGAGCCTCTGATTTGGGCTTATGAATTTGCTGGGAAATGTGTCATCCAGAGTTATTGATGTATGGGCAGAAAAGCAAGACTTGAGGGTCTCATGTGGCTTGAACCAGAGCCTAAAAAAGTAGTAAACTTTATTCCTGAACTTTGATTAGAACTTGTTTTCTCTGCTTTTAGCTTTTCAGAACATGAATTCCAAAAGGAAAGCAGAAACCTGGAAAAGAAACAGACGTCAGCTAGTAAGTAATATTTGTGGCTTCTTAAATGCTACAAACCAAGTATGAATCAGTTTAAAAGTATGCACATAAATTTGCATTTGATAAATGTTTGCAGCTTACCTATTCCTTGTTTTAAATTACCTTAATAGAGCACTGTCATTATGTTGGTAGCGCCAAAAGTAATCTTTTGAAGGAGGGCAGATAATATGAGGTTGTTCTGGTTGTGACATTTTCAGTGGATGACCTCATTCTGACCTTTTACATTGGTGGCAACCCCTTTCCTTCCTGTTTTACCTTTTCCCTATGTTTATGGTGGTAAAGGGGTTATATTTAAGATGGAGTTCTCGCAAAATGAAACTAAGTACAAATACCTACCCAGACCTTTAAGGCTGTGGTTCTCAAACTTTAAAAAGTTTGATTCACTGAGTCAAATCAGTTCACCTGCACCCCTTCCTACTTTATGGTGGAAAAAGGAACTTGGTGATAAAAACTGGAGAGAAATTTAAGGGAAATGCTTACTTTACTAGTATTTGAGTATATACACATAAAATTATGCCCCGCAAGCTTAAAAATAAGTAACATTATTGCATTTACCTTGATATCAATAGCATGTTGGAATTTATTTAAATAGTACAGATTCACCAGTGAAATACTGCTGTCTAGGCAAACTTTTATTCTGACTCATTGGTTCATAAAATGCAATGCACATATCCCAGTGTCTAGTTATTGGAGAATTATTGACCAGATATAATAGAAAAGTGTATCACTACATACTTAGGCTTTCCTAGAAACCCCATAGCAAATTGAAAATAGTAAAGCTAAACTATAGCAGTTGGTCATTAGAAAGCAAGAATAGCAGGGATGGAAAACTATGACTAACTTGGAATGATGATCATGCATGTGTATTAGCTAGAAATAGTGGCACTTCTGCTTGTTGGTGTATACAGTTGTAACTTGGCAGGTTTGCCAAATACAGTGTTTTGGCCAGACTTCTTAGTAAAATAGTGAATTAGAGTTCTCTATAGTATCTTTAATAACTCATTTAGTAGGTTGCTGCTAAGTACCTGTTAGTCATATGTGAAAGTGGAAGCCTTAGGATTAAGAAAGAATCAAAAGAAAGGCTTGCATTTTTTGGATTCATTTAAGGCCCATCAGTGGGTCTCAAGACCATGCTTTGAATATTATGATTTTTATGTTAAACCTGGGTTTTGGAAATGTAGAAAATGAAATTAATCTGTGATATCTTTTCTAACATTAACTTGGGGATACTTAAGTTTGGTATAGCTAGTCACATCATAGCCTTCTTTTCATAGTTTGTTAAGGATTAGGGAATGTCAGGAGCAGATTTGGTCAGGCGCTTCTATTATGTCTCTCATAGAGCAGTAGATCTTAGCCTTGGCTGCATACCAGAATCACCTAGGGAACTTCAGAACTTACTGATGCTGGGTCCCACCCCAAGAGATTCTGATGCAGTTGGTTTGGGGTATATAGTCTCGGTATCTTAACTGATTTTTAAAAGGGCTCTGGGTGATTCTACTGTGCAGTGAAAGTTGAGACCCTCTATCTAAGAGACTATTTCTTAAACAGTAGCTCCTGCATTATTGGGAGACTGATAATTATGTTTTGGAGGGTAACAAAAGGTAAGGAATCTTCTGTGATTAAAAAAATTTTTTTTAAAAGCAAACTAAGATTTAACCTTTGGCCACTTTAATTTTGAGGGTAATTAAGCTTAAATACCTTAAATTATTCTTGTACTCTGAGAAGCTTTATTATGCCTTTTGACATATACCAAAGGGTCATGTCAGACTTACTAGGAACCCCTTATAGGTCTATAAGGAAGGAAATGTCCCAAGTTCCATATTTGGAGTTAAGTGTTCTTTAATAGTTAATGTTTTTTAATCTGAGTAAACTTAGGTTCTCATGCTGTGGTTAAGGTTCTTGCCTTTTTACTGTATAGTAGAAGTGGTCATCCTCATATGACCTCCTCTGATAACTTGAAGAAAATAAAGCTAACTTTCAGTCTTCAAAAGGTCAGTTAGGGCTTCCCTGGTGGCGCAGTGGTTGAGAGTCCGTCTGCTGATGCAGGGGACACGGGTTCGTGCCCCAGTCCGGGAAGATCCCACATGCCGCGGAGCCCGTGCGTCTGGAGCCTGTGCTCCGCAACGGGAGAGGCCACAACAGTGAGAGGCCCGCGTACCACAAAAAAAAAAGGTCAGTTAGCCCTGTGCTTTTGACCTGTCATAAGTGATCCCATTCAGCTAGTACCAAGTTGAAGGTTAATATTAGTTAATGCTTAATATAAATTTATTGCTCTAGGTTAAGCCTAACGTATATAATTGTTCACCCTGCCTGCTACTTTTTTTTTTTTTTTTTTTTTTTTGCGGTACGCGGGCCTCTCACTGTTGTGGCCTCTCCCGTTGCGGAGCACAGGCTCCGGACACGCAGGCTCAGCGGCCATGGCTCACAGGCCCAGCCGCTCTGCGGCATGTGGGATCTTCCCGGATCGGGGCACGAACCCATGTCCCCTGCATCGGCAGGCGGACTCTCAACCACTGCACCACCAGGAAAGCCCGCTGCCTGCTACTTTTCAGTCCATTGAGAATCACTGAAAAAAAGCAGAGGCTTTAGCTTCATCTTTGGCTGATTAAATCCTATTCTAATATTTGTAGTACCAGCATGGTCCTGGGTAACTCTTAGGCCCTAGTAACTGATTAGGCAATAGGTTTGAGTTAACTTTAAGGTATTAAACCACAGAGGTAATAAAAGATGAGGTACTTCTAGGCATCCAATCTTTGTCAATTCATTTTTTTTTGAGTGTAGAATTTTCAGAAGTCATTAAGTAGGAAATTAAATTGCTTTATATCCCCTAAAATCTTAAATGAAATCATAAGTTGGAACGTATCATATGTTTGAAATGACTGTTAACAATGAACAAAACTCTTTTAGAGCATAGCTCTAGCTGACACTGTGAACACCCAGACAACAAAAGGAAAAAGAAGGGTATAGATTTGAGGTATTAAGAGCTTCAAGTTGGAGGACACCCCAGTATGGAAAATAGACAAAGGTTTGGGAAGGGGGCAGTACCTGGATCATTTATACTTACCATGTGCTAAAGTGAGAATGGGCTCCCAAGGTGGGACTCTAGCTCCCAGGTGAGAACATTACCTTATATCACAGTTTTGAACCTGCTGTTGCCTACATTCTATAACTCCAAGATTTTTTCTTTTTTTACACCTTAGTATCTTGAAGAAATTCTTTTTTTGTGGCAGTAGGTCTCTGCTTTTATAGTAGAAATCTTTGGACAAATAAGATTTACTTAACATTCAGCTTTGCTGGAATATATTTAGTCTAAATTGAAGGGTTTCTGTAGTCTCAACTTTTATAATTAGAATTAAAATATTTCTGCTTCTTGGGGAAGGCCCAATCCATGTTTCAGACTCCAAAGCTTTAAAGAAACATAGTTGGCATTTGTTATTTAATATGTGTATTTAAAAGAAAACAGTGTACAATTCTCCATATGGAAAAAATGAGTTCCTGCCTTACCGTATACACAAAAATAAATCGTAGATGGAAAATAAAACTTAAAAAATTTTAGAAGAAAATACTGGGCAATATATTTATGACCTCAGAGAAAGGAAGGGCTTCTTAAATAACGTACAAGAAGTACAAATTGTAAAGGAATACTTGGTGTATTTTACTACTTTAAAGAAAGAAAACCTTCAGTATATTGAAAGACAGAAGCAAATGAAAAGACAAGCCACATGGTCCAACTACTTTGGAATTATCTTATAGTTCACGTGCATACCCTACAACCCAGCAGTTCTACCCCTAGTCAGATGCCATGGAGAAACTCTTGTACCTCTGAACCAGGAAGCATGTATAAGAATGTTTATTGCATTTTCATAATAGCAAAAAACTGGAAATAACCCAGTGTCCATGGACAGGAAAATGGTTACATTCTGGAATAGAATATTGTTTAGCAGTGAAAATAATTGAACTACAGCTACATGTGACATCATGGATCAATTTTAGAAACAAAATACTGAGAGGAAAAATCAGGTAGCAGAAGACTGCATGTAGAATATTTTTACAAAGCTCAAAAACAAAACTAAGATCTCAGTTTGAGAGACACATGTGGCAAAATTACTTTTTTAAAAAATTTTTTATTTTGTGGTACGCGGGCCTCTCACTGTTGTGGCCTCTCCCGTTGCGGAGCACAGGCTCTGGACGCACAGGCTCAGCGACCATGGCTCACGGGCCTAGCCGCTCCGCGGCATGTGGGATCTTCCTGGACCAGGGCCCGAACCCATGTCCTCTGCGTCGGCAGGCGGACTCTCAACCACTGCACCACCAGGGAAGCCCCAAAATTACTTTTTAAAAGCAGAGGAATGGAATTCCCTGTCTGTCCAGTGGTTAGGATTCCATACTTCCACTGCAGGGGGCATGGGTTCAATTCCCTGGTTGGGGAACTAAGATCCTGCATGCCGCGTGGTGTGGCCAAAAAATAAAAATAAAAAAAATAAAGGCAGAGGAATGATAAACATAAAATTGAGCACGGGGGTTAGGAGGAGAGGCAGGAGGATGGGCTGGTGGGTACACTGTTAGCTTGAATAATATCAGTGATACATATTTTGGTTCTTCATTTGGACTCATGGGTATTCATTTTATTATGCTTCATAATTTGGTAATTTTTTGGTATGTAACAAATTTTAAAAATCGTAATAAAAATGATAAGCCTCAGTCTGGGAGAAGATATTTGCAATATATAAAACTATAAAGGATTAATGTTCTGATGAATCAGGATTAATGCCTTGGATTCATAAAGAATTACTACGAGGGAATTCCCTGGTGGTCCAGTGGTTAGGACTCCACATTTTCACTGCCAGGGCCACGGTTTGATCCCTGGTCGGGGAACTAAGATCCCACAAGCCGTGAGGCCAAAAAGAAAAGCTAAAAAAGAAAGAATTCCAAGGAATCAGTAAGAAAAAAGGTGATGCAACTGAAAAAAACAACTAATGGTCAAAGGATCTGAACAGTAGTAATTCACAGAAAAAAGAACTGAATGGCTAATTAACATATGAATATGCACTCAACCTTACTAGAAATAAGGGAAATGCAGATTAAAACAGCAAGATCCTATTTCATGTTCATCAGATTGGTAAAAATTTAAGAGTCTGACAAAGACAAGTGTTGGTGAAAGTGGAGCACTAGGAGCTCATCCCACTGGGCATGTTAAATAGATGTAACCACCTTGGAGGACAACTGGATGATGTCTGATTAAGTTGAAGATGCTCATGATGCAAGACCCAGCAATACTACCCAGTGCCCAGGACGTGTTACAAGAATGTTTATTCAGGTGTTACTTGTTATAGTGAAACATTGGAAGCAATGTAAGTGTTTATTTAGAGAAGAATGTATAAAAAAACATTGTGACATTTGTATAATGGAATAGTGTACAGCAGTGAAATTGGTGAACTAGAGCTACATGAATAAATCTCAAAATCATAATATGGAGTAAAAACATGTTTTAGCACTATAGAATAATGCAGTACAGTATGAAACCCTTTATTAAAAGTTGAAATATACAAGAAATTATATGTCATTTATACAAATATCCATACAAGCATAGCACGGGTAGTTATGATTTCAGGGTAGTTATGACTTCAGTGGGGAGAGAAGGATTCTGGCTTTAATCATTTCTGTAGTTTTGTTTCTTTTAAAAAGGAATGATCTGAGACAAATATCACAGATTATTAACCTCTCTTTAATATGGGTAATGTATACATGGATGTTGTATTGTCTGTGCTTTCTTTTCTGTATGTTTGCAGTATTTCATAATAAGTATTTTTAAAAGTTCACACAGCTGTAGCTTTTAACTTTAGAAGTTGTATAATATGGAAAGCACTTAGATTAGAGCCTTCCCTGTGGTAAGCCCTCAAATGCTGAGCACAGGAAGGCTTTTTGACTGTAATTCCCCTAGTATTGCAGTCCTGGTATATGAGAGTAGATTACTTGAATTTAGAAAATACTCTTCTAAGAACTAGTTACATAAATGTTTCAGTTTGATAAGCAGACATTTATATACCTTTGACCAGTAGGTTATAACTTTAGCTTTTGATAATAAAATTTCCCTTTATGATCTTCCAAATTAAAGAGGTGAAAAGAGGGATGGTTTTGAGCAAGATATTTAATTTCCAAAGCAGGCTCTGCCAGTTAACTAGTTCTGAGGCCTTGGGCAAAGCCGTTTTGGGCATCAGAGTTTTATCTGCAAAGTTGGGCGAATAAGGTCCTCTTTGCTGAGTTTTGTCATAGGCTCATAAGCATAAAAGGAGTACAGGGCCTGGCACTTACTGGGTGCTCAGTTATGGTACTAGTTGCTACGACAGATACCTTTGACCTAGTGAATGGTCTCTCACCTCACTGACAAAGCTTTATTTTCATTTTGGAAGTTCTCTGGCAAGCCAGACTTGCCATTAAGCTGCTGGGCCATCCTGCTTATTTAGCTTGTGGGTAGCTCTAGGTGATACTTGTAGCCTTTGGTCTCTAGAACAGAACTCTGGGCACCCATCTTCCTGCTGGGCTTCCTGATGTGTGTACGTGTTTCAGGCCTTCTCCACAGTAGGCACTCCTGACTACATTGCTCCTGAGGTGTTCATGCAGACCGGGTACAACAAGCTCTGTGATTGGTGGTCGCTGGGGGTGATCATGTATGAAATGCTCATTGGTAAGTTGCGTGCTTTCAGAGGACTTTTTCTGTGCAGTCAGGAAAGAGTCCTATGTTGATAATAGACTGTTTTAGGTGGGGGTCATCTAAGAGCACTTTTCCCCCCTCGTCTTTTAAAGTGAAGTTTCCTAGGTAGAAAACGCTGGGCCATCAAATGTATCCCACTATATTATGGCTCCCTGGCACCCTCTCGTGGCTTTGTTGATCATTTATCATGGTTTTCTTTGACTTTTCCATACTCTCCATCTAGCAACTCTTTCATTCACTGGCATTTATTAAACACCCATTGTATACAAAGAGCCTTCACTGGGCCGTGTCTCGAGCACTCTACTTCTTAGTTGCTGTCCCCCCTTCTCTCTCAAAGCCTTCAGAGCATGGACCCCTCGGACCTCTCTCCCTGTTGCTTGGTATATCTGTGTATTTAGGGGACACATCTGTGGGGCTGGCCATATGCCTGAGCACTAGGAGAGCCCATCTGTCCGTGGTGGCCCTGAGTGAATCTGTGTGAATGACTGGTGTGGCATCGTCTGGCTGTGTTGTCTATGGGAACACTGGACGCATGCCTGTGGAGGCGGATGTGGTCTGTGTAGAGGGCAGGTGGAGTATTACGGTGACTATCCTTCTCACCTGTAGTTCTCAAAGAGAGGCATGGTGGTCACTTTTCCCAGATAAGGATATTCCTAGAATGGAGTCATTTCTTAATGATGTTGTTTCATCCTTTCATTTTCCTCTTTGGGCACAGTGAGCCCCGCCTCTGCAACTCTGCTTCTGTCCTCCTTCCTTTTTCCAGCTCCAGCTAGTAGCTGGCTCCCTAGTGGTACCAGAAGCACAACTTCACTTTGGGTTTAAGAGTTTTGGGGGAAAATGAACAATTGGTTTAGATGTTTCCTGGGGTGAGTGGAAATCCTGTCCATGTCATGTAGGGAAGGACATATAGGATCATTAAAGATATATTAGAATCAGATTAAGGTGAATAATCTCAGATTCAAAGTTCTGGGATGTGAGAGCTCCGAAGTTCCCTTTTTATTACAGGCTACCCACCTTTCTGTTCTGAGACCCCTCAAGAGACATATAAGAAGGTGATGAACTGGAAAGAAACTTTGACTTTTCCTCCAGAAGTTCCTATTTCTGAGAAAGCCAAGGATCTAATTTTGAGGTATCAGAGAACATTTCCCCTGTCCCCCAGCCAGGCTTTTTGACATGAGTGAATCTATTTTTAAAAATTTTCATCATTTCCTGGGTCGGTCCCCCCTTCCTCCCATTTCTCCTTTTCTTTTTCTGAAGAGACTACTTGAGGTATGCTGAAAGGCCTCTGTGTTTTCCAGATTCTGCTGTGAATGGGAACATAGAATTGGAGCCCCTGGAGTTGAGGAAATCAAAAGTAACTCTTTTTTTGAAGGTGTTGACTGGGAACATATCAGGTATATCCGTATACAAAGTTTCAGGATAATTTCAGTAAGTCTCTAGTTTGCTTAATACTAATTTAGAAGCACCACTACTGGCAAGCCAAGTATGGGAAGAGAGCTTCTTAGAAATTCAGGGTCTTTTCCTGATTTTCATTCATGGCGAGGATTGGGAGTTGGGGTTTCCTGTCACCCATGTGCCGTGGGACACGTTGAAGCCAGCAGTCATTTCCAAAGTGAAGTGAACTTTGGATTCCACGGTGAAAGGACCACCTAAGCATTGTGTTGCACTTGCTTTTACCAAGAACACACCAACTTCTCTAGTGTTAGGAGCCACCAGCAGGACTGTCCCTGCCCCTAGGGTGGAGGCTATCACTGGGAGACAGAGAAGGAAGAGAGGAGTGGAAGAAGGATGGAGTGGGGAAGGGCGCAGAGGGGGAGTGGAGGGGAAACGTGAAACTGTTGCGGACAGGGCTCGCAGAGAGCTGCCAGCGCTGCACAGACCTCCCTCCTCAGCATTCATTGGTTGAGCAGATGCAGTTGTCATCCATTTCATAGGAGTGTTCTAATTCGCATGCTTGTGATTTCTACCTTTGCCTTGTAGCCACTCTACTTTGTTGGCATTTCTGGTAGAAGAGGGTCAGAGCCCTGCACGAGGAGGCATTTAGAGGTTCAGTTTCCCTTTTCAGCAGACAGGGCAGGCTGTCAGGGAGAGTGTACTAACTTTGGATTTTAATTTCTCCTTATTTTTCTTGTCTTTCTTCCTAGCTATGAATAATTACATTTTTTTCATCATAGTTTTGTTTGGTTGTAGTCAGCTGGTGGTTGGTCAGTGGTCATAAGCTTTTCAAAGGAAATTAATGCTGCCTGCCAGTGGACAGTCTTCCCTTGTCAGACCAGGGGTCTTTTTTGGAGAAAGACTTGATTACTTGTGATCCATATGTTTACTAACCGTAGTAATTTTTGGCATGTCTGTTCTTGGCAGAGAGAGGCCTGCTGCAATATCTATTGAAATCAAAAGCATTGATGATACCTCAAACTTCGATGAGTTTCCAGAATCTGATATTCTTAAGCCAACAGGTAATACTACCACTGCCTCAGGCTGCCTTATAAGTGCATTATTTCCCCCAAATTTTGGGGTGATGTTTACAAATCAGGTTAGAGAACATGGAGAGGAACTTCAGGCTCTTTGTAAGTATTTTTCCAGTGTTAATGCAGGGCAGCAGTGAGACCTTGTTGAATGGAAAGTAGTGAATACAAACACCCATATTTAGCCTGCTCAGCTGGATGGGTGAACCACAAAGATTTGTTCTCTTGTTATTTATTAAATTAAAGGTTAGGTAATCTGAAATGACAGAAACGAGAAAATAAAACTTTAAAAATATTGTGAAAAACATGAGGTTCAGAGAACATAGGCAGGCAAATGTAGAAAATTCGCAGAGTGAAAAATAACTTTTCCCAGATAGAAGCTGTGATATGTTCTTCAGAATGTCACGTACTGAGTGTCAGTACTGAGTAGTCCATCAAGGTAAGGCAGTGAATCAACTCTCACATCTGTTTCTTTCCCAGTGGCAACAAGTAATCACCCTGACACTGACTACAAGAACAAAGACTGGGTCTTCGTCAATTACACATACAAGCGCTTTGAGGGTCTGACTGCGCGGGGGGCAATACCTTCCTACATGAAAGCAGCAAAGTAGTTTCCTTGAAATGGGATCCTAAATCGAGCAGTTCTTTGTACAACATCATGGTTTTCTTCTCACATAACTGTTTTGAAAGAGCTTCGAAGAAGTTTATGGAACCTACCAACGTGTCATGGTGAACTCCTGAAATGTGATAGTAAGTGGATTCTCTTCCATAATGCATCTGATGACCTGTAGAACAAAGACAACCATTTTTACTACATCAGCCATTAACGGCTGTCCTGCTTCTTTAGAAGCATCATGAGCCAATTTGATGTTTTAAAAAAACTTGAGTTTTCCTAAGTTCATCAGAATGAAGGGGAAAAAACAGCCATCATCCAACATTGAGATTGTAACATATACTTACTGAGTATCAGCCAATTCCTGTGATTTTGTGACATATGCTTGCTACCAAGCCCACCAAGTATTTTTTTTTCTTTACAGCTAAAAGTTCCATAGTACTAAGGAAATAAAGCAATAAAGAAAGCTTCAGTAGCCAGCATTCTGGCTGAAGGAAATGATCCACCATTCTGAGTGGGTGATGGTGGTAGTTTCTCCCCAAACCTCAGCCTTGGGCAAGTAGCTTTTTATAGCCTCCATTCATGGTGCACTTTATTTATGGTACTAGGATAAAGACCCTCAGTCCATTTTGATTTCCTTCTACCCATCTGAAATACTCACGCTGCTTTTCTGAGTGTTGATGGGAAGATACCAGCTTGATCCTTTGTTGCTCTTAGAAGGCCCAAAAAGCCACTGGGCATTGCCAAGGAGTCCTGGATCACGTGGAAAATCCTCACTTTCTCTTCACGGCTGTATTAGAAAATCCCTTTGGATGTTGCCGTGGACTAGCAATACCCACAAGTGCTGCCAAAAGGACCTCGGTTTATTCCTGGGAACACAGCAAGGAGAGCCCAGGCAGAAGCAGGAGGCCTCGAACCCTCTTGGCTAAGGTGCTGCTCCTGCTCCGTGTCCAGACCTCCCTGCAAGTGGTGAAGGAACGAGCCCAATACAAAGTGCAGAGCCAGCCTGCAAATCCGTGCGAAGTTCACGCCTCAATCTTTGGTGCAACTGTATTTGTATCCTCTTAGTATTTCTCCTCTCCCAACTTTAAGTAACCATTTTGCCTTGGAATCATGATTACAAATTTTTCCTTTGCAGATGCCTTCCTGGGGGATGGTCCTCTTCACCCTAAAGGGTCACGTGCAGGCCTGGGCTGACCAGGCCTCTCTGCTGTGGTGCTCTCTAGAGAGACCCTCTGAATTTTAGCACAAAGTGCCTTTTCTTTCACAGCTGCCACCGCCTTTAGAGGACTTTCGCTGCATCAGAAAAATGTGGAGGCTCCATATTAATGCATTATTACTTTTAAAAATTTTGATAACTCTTAAAGCATCATTTGCACCTATGTGGTAACTTTGCCTGTTGCAGAGTGTCATAGCCAAGCCACAGCTGGGAGACTGCTTTCTGCCAGTCTTGAGGTTGTTAACATCAGCTATGAAAGGAAAGTATGTCCTAGCTTAGCCATTCAGAAAAGAAAAATGGGACTATCAGAGTTACAGTAGTAAGTGAAACTGCTTTGGGTTTTAATGTCTTAGAGGAAGAAAAAAGAATATTAGGGAAATATTAACTCTGGATGAAGGTAATGTGTTTCCCCTTATTCTTTCATTCATGGTTTGCTAGTGAAAAGGAAGTGAGATTCTTTTGTGTAACTTTGTAGCTTCTTTGGATTCCCAAATAGTTGGGGTCTTGACCCCTATGTGTTTTGCAAGAGTATGTGGTAAGCATGGACAATGAGAGGTAATGGGAGGGTGGTAGGTAGTCTGTGTGTTGGGGAGTGGCAGGGGATAATTTGTTTTTGGGGGGGAATGCCCACATTTTAACTTTTAAATGTCTGAATAAACTGTGTGAAAACAATAGTATAAGTCTGTGGCTCGTAATTCAAAGAGCCAGAGTGCTGATGGCTTCCTCTGACCCTTTTGTCTGCAAACCGTTAAACGCTGAAGACCACCTTTAGGCAAAATGCTTTACCATCTCAGGGAAGATGGGACCTGCTTTTTTGTTCCCTGAGAACAAGTCTTCTGAACTGGGGTTCATGTAAAGAGACTGTCTTCTGTTGGCCTCACGTCTATGCTCTTTTCACCTGGCTCAGTGTTACTGGGCAGTGGGCACTCTTGCAGTAAGTGCAGTTAGGCCAAGGGGAGACCTGCCGACGAAAGTTCTGTAAACTGGTGGACCCTTTATACAACTGTTTGTTTGTAGGTCAGCCCTATTTTTTTTCAGCCTGGGGTTGACCAGGAATCTCACAAGCTCCCAGGATGGACTTCTCAGCTCCCTGTGTCCACCAGAGCAGGGCTCTGTCTCTGGATGTAGATTTAAGGAGTCTTATGGGTCCCACTTCTTACCTCCTTCTCTGGGTCAGGCAAAGGACCCTCAGGCAAAGAGGAAGGGGCAAAGACCAGCCAGGGTGGGAACTGCAGGCAGAGGTTAGTTAAATGCAGCCTAACAATGTATTGTCGTTCCAAGGCTCATGAGTTTCAAGAAACATGTCGGGAACCACTGGCTCAGTGTTGGTCCTATTCACAGATAATTCTGTGTCCTGTCTCTTAGGAGAAGTTAGAAAATAATAGAACTTGAACTGTACTGCATACTAAAATGAAACTGAATGCTGATGTCATTCAGACTCCTTGATTCAGGAGTACATCAGAATTTTCTTCAGTACCTATTTAAGAATTTCAAAAGTGAGGGGAATCCTTTGGGATTAATGGTCAGGCTGTGAAATAGCAGATTGCTAATTTTAACGCTCATCTGTATAGTGTAGGAATCCTCTGCCACTGATTGCTACTACTGTTTCTCTGAATCATTTCCTTGGAAGCATATTTCCTGGAGCACCTTCTCCTGTTACTCTCTCCTGGGCCTCTGTGTGTAACCCTAACGGTGTTTTGAATTGAATGCAAAAGGATTCAGTGAATGGTATTTTCCTTTCCTAGTTAGCAACCATTTCCCTGGAATGATCTGTCAGTCAAAACCAACACTGACTTAAAAACAAGCCTCCACGCTGCTCTTTAGGCATATTTTCAGAGAAAAACATCTTGCCCACATAATACTTAAGCATTCATAAAATACAGAGCTCAATCCCAGGTACACTGGGGATGCAATAGGGAAGCCCACTGTGGTTCTGAACCACAGATCAGTTTGAGGAGAGAATTCCCAGCCACAAAGTTGGCTTAACAGAATTGCAGCATCAACTATAAAGTTATTAGTATGTTAGTGTTGCTGTAACAGTACTATTAAGCCAACCCTGAGTTGTGGGGAAGGTTGAGGAAGCTTCCCAGAGGTGTTAGTAAGTAGCAGTGATTTGGCAGAGGGGAAGGTGAGCAGTGCAGGATTTGGGAGGCTGGTAGGTATGGTCCCGTGCTGTGACAGAGGCATGGAGCTATGAGTAAGTATTGCTTCCTGAAAAACACTCTCCAGTCACTTTCGTTACTTCATTTCCCTCTCACGTCAGTCTGGTTTCTTCCCCTTGTGTGAAACACATTAGTATTAATTATCCCATGTGCAAAACGTGCTAGTACTAATTTTAATAATCACTCCTCTGCTCACTGGCATCCTAACTGCCACATCCACTGGCTTCTCTTCAGCCCTCATCTACCTGACCACCCTGCTGCACTCACACTGTTGAGTTAAAACAAAAAACTCTGCTCCCACCTCTCTGACTTCCTTCTTGGTAGTTCCTCTGCCACTGCCCAAATGCTGGTGCTCCTCAGAGCAATGCCTTTGCCTTTTTTTCACTCGTATGATCTCCCCCATACTGTGGCTTCAGCTGCCGTTTTTGTGGTGAGATCTTCAAAATGACCATCCTGCCTGGATCCCTCCCCAGAACTCTAGATCCCATGTAGCCGAGTGCCTATTAGAAATTGCCACCTGGAAGGCATCTTACAGGTGCCAACTGTCCTTATGGAGCTCCTCTTGCCTCCACAGCCTTTTTTCTAGCTCATTCTACCTGCTGTCCAAGCCAGAAATTTCTTACATGATTCCCATCAGTAAACATATATAATTCTGGGGCATGATTGTCCATCCTACCAGTGTCTTCATCATTCCTTGCTGAGTCCATTGTTGTGGTCTCTTAGCTGACCTTTGTCCCTGGTCCTTCCCCTTTCAAGTCTGTCGTCCTCTCTGCTGCCAAAGAAACTCTTAAATTTCAAGTCTGATCATGTTATTCTCCTGCATAAAATCCTTCAGGCTCCTGAGAGCTTATATAATGAGACCAAACACCTTTGTCTGAGGTACAAGGGCCCTTCCTTACTCTGGCCTATCTCTGCATTACTATCCTCCCCCTGCCCCCACCATCCTCTTCCCTGATGACAATAAGCAACTAGTTCACCTTCGCATCTTTGCTTATACAGTTGCGTTGGCCTGGAATACTTCCCTTTGGATTCATGAATCCAAAACAACTAGTATTTGTCTTTCACAGTTTGGTTCATGTGTCATGTATACAACCCTCCTGTGAACTCTCCTCTAATTTTCATAGTAAAAACTGGCTACTCCATCCTTATGCGCTTCCTGAGTGACCTGGACTATTTATGGATCTTTGTGCAATTATAAGAGCCCTCTGAAGGGAGGAACTGTGTCCTAGTCAGCATGTCCCTGTGACCAAGCAGCACTTGGCACTGAACATACTCAATGGGCCATGCCTTCAGAGCATGTTTTTAACCTCTGTGCTGACAAAGGCAGGCCTGCCAGGGAGGCCCTGGCTTGCTTCAGCACCCCTACAAGTTGTCAGTGTCACCAGTAAGCTGCTCAGGCCAAGTGTGCTGAGGGGAGCTCAGGAGGCACCTGACTAGAAGAGGGCCGAATCAGCAGAGGATGAGCAAGATGCCCCAAAGCAGTGTTTCCCAGGGACCTGCCTGGACCCTGCCCTACCTTCTCAAGCTGCCTTTCATGCCTGCCATGCTTCTTCACTTGCTTGAAACCAAAAGTGAGAACACAGAAGTTTGTGAGTCATCTTACCTTTCAAATTTACATTTGGTTTTGTGGGGTACTACTTGGTTGGATTTGAGGGTTCAACTACTTGGTTGAATGCAAGCTAACCAGAAACTCAAAAGAGAGCAGACCATTATGGCTCTGGAACCTGTGAATTATAAGAAATACCAGGGTGGGAAAAGCACATACAGGCTCCAGGCCAGCCGCGCCCCCGCCGGCTGCTGTAGGAAAGAGCCTCTCCTGGGCAGTCCACGTGCTGCTACTCTCCGTCCCCTTTAACATCTTGAGTTCCAATATTATTTTCTGCTAAAAAACAACAACATGGACACAAATGATAACATTTTATTATAGAAAAAGCATCCCAAATATAGGATTTCGTAAACACTGGTAGGTGAACAAGTGCAACTTTAAATACAAAGTAAAGAGGCAAAACCTACAAGCATTTTGCCTTTAAGAGAAAATGTAATGTTCTCTTGCAGAGGTGATCCCACCCAGAGCACGGATGTGGCTCCATCTCCCATAAAGGTATCAGGTTTGCTTTCTGAACTATGCCCAGTTTAACAATTTCAAAATGATGGCAAGAAGTGGCATTGAATAAATCACTGATTCTTAACTTTCTATTGACTATTACTCGATAAAGGCTCCCATCACTCTTTGACAATTTAAAGCCTCTGCTCTGATTGTTTTTACTTAACAGAAGGACCTGCTGGAACACTATCCATCCTTTCTGGGCTTATGCCACAGTATTTTCATAGACCTGTACACATTAGGTATCACACGGAATTTAGTTATTAATACTGGCTACTGCATATCATGCAATAAATCCAGCTACTTTCTAGCTCCCTTACCTTTTTTTTTTACTGTCATTCTTTTAATACCTTTTCTCCACTTTGGAGAAACCATTAAGTAATCTCATCAGACACATTTTAACACTGTCTCCTTGCCTGCTCCCAATTCCTTAATGGCAAATGTTTCCTAATCAACAATACATGATTTGATGCAGACACAAACTCAGATCCTAAACCTCAAATTCAGGTTTATCTTGGCCTGCTGATAGATACCTCTGAATAAGACAGTCTGGGTAAAAACATTTTCTTATGAAAATGTTTCTGTATAAACAGCCTGGCTTACTTATTTAGGCACTTAGGAAAAAACCACCAAACCTGAGTTTCACCTTTTTAATTAGAAATACCTGTTGCCCAGCTGGCCAGTAACTGACTCTGAAGGGAATGACTGCAACCCAGCTCTTGTTCCTGCGAGAACTGCGAGGTCCTGTGGCCACGGGATGTCCTGGCCCTGGGAACAGAGCTGCTGTGGCTGAAAGGAGCCACCGAATTACAGTGATGCTGCGCTCCAGGTTGGAAGGGCGTGGGGTACAGAAGAAATGTCCTCTCCACCAGAGGGAACCTGTGGGCCCAGTTTTTCCCTCCGTCATCACCACCTGGCAACACTGGCAGATTTACCTCCACAGATCTCCAGCTCACTCGAACCCTAAGGGTTGGGGCTGAAAGCACGTTAACCCAATTTTGGGGGAAAAAAAGACCTGGTTTTTGAAAGCCGGAGGAAATTAATCATTTACATAGAACAAAGTGTTAAGTACATGCCACACTTTCATATCTAGCTTTTTACCTAAGCAATGACTAATAAGTTTTAGAGTGTTAGCTGAGACATGTCTACCCTTAAATGTTATATATTAAGCTATAAAACAGAAATTATACATACTTATTATAGTCTACACAAAAGTTAAATTTCCTTTGTGATAGCATGGAAGTCAACCACAAAGTGTAAAGGAAGCACCATTAAACAATTATCCTGGCTGGTCGTGGGTATGAATGTAGTACCAGTAAGGTCAAAGCCAAACCTGACCTCAAACAGCCAATTCTTTTCACGGAAATAAAACTACCCCTGGCTACAAAATAACGTTAACCCTAAAC